TCGAAAAAAGATATCTATGTAATCTATATTTGTTTACAAGTCGATTGACGTTTAGAAGTGACTTCATGCATTAATGTTAGCAAAAACTTTATTTTAGTGTTCAAATTAATAAAATACCGAATATAATATAACATGGAGTAAGTATATACTTTTGTTATAATATTAGTTTCTTTGTAACTTAGTCAACCACTACTGTAATATTAATGATTTCGTTTTAATTATAGCCCCGTTATCTGAGCTCTGTAGAAAGAGCGGCTTATCCTTTAACGGCCCAAATTCACGCACTACTCAATTTTTTAGAGAAGAATTCAAGCCTTGCAAAAGGGTTTTCGAAAGTTTCCAGTGCAAGGGACACGGCCCGTAAAATCTGGGAGAAACTGGCCCTTCAACTCAATAGTTTAGGGGTATGTATTAAGATGTAGAAACAATGGACTAAAGTTTGTAATTTTGTGACCAATTATTTTTATAATCATAGTAAGTGGCTAAAATTTCCGATATGGACCATCGATTTCAATGCTCAAATTTTTTTGTAGATAGTACTCACTGAAAGAAAGCGTTTTGCAAAGTTTCAGGTTGCGGAAACTTACTGTTCATGAGATAGATATATTTTTTTTAACTTTTTAGCAAGTAACACGCAATGTTTAATCTCCAACTGAGATTACAATTACACTGTGGATCACAGTATAGATCCCACTATAGATTATGTTTTGGGATCACCTATAAAAGTTAATTCACGGCCTTTAGGCAAATAAAGTTAGACAAACCATATCGCGATACAATTACCGTGCAACGCCATCTGCCATCAATGATGCTAACTATCGCAACATATTCAATACAATTACTGTACAACGCCATCTATCATCTGTGATGCTAACTATCGCAACATAATGGTAGCATAACGCCATCTGTTTATCTATGACTAAATTTCCAGCGCCAGGAATCTTCGTAAGGCTATCTGCCTTGAGTTTATGTCCTTGGATGCAGGCGATTCACTTCTGAAAGGTAACCTTACAATATATCTTCCCGTTTCTTCTCTTCATGTAGTCTTTTCAAATATATCTAAGCACTTCTTCTCTTCTTCCTTTAGTATTCTTTTCTGTTTTGGTTCTTCCTCCAACTCCCAAAATTCCTTAAAACTTTCATTTTCTTCTTTTACAGAGTAAAGTACCACAACGTTTGAGGAAACCTGCATGTTGACCAGTCCACTTACTATCCATCCAAAGGCTGTGCACTGAGCGACTAGTGTTACAGTTGAATCTTTTTACAAACCCTCCATGATTACTCGATTATAAACCTCCGCTCCTAATAAAACATCGATTTTATTAGGTTGGTGATATGATGGATCAGCTAATAGGCAATTATTAGGCAACAAATTCAAATTGACTACCCTTTTTACTCGGAAGAAGTGTAGTGATCGATTTGAGTACATGAGCCACCACTTGAATCTATTTGAGGGTTGGCGGATATTTGAGGGTTGATGAAAATCTATTTGAGGGTTGACGGATGATCTTAATTTTATATTAAAGACTGAAGTAGATTTAGACTTTTCTTCACCAATTCCGAATATCACGCGTCTTTCTGCAGTTTTTGTCTTCAACCTTAACAACTGTACTGCTGCCTCTGTAATAAATGAAGCTTGAGAGCCCTGATCGAGTAGAGCTCTCTGCGTATAATTTCCTCTCCCCTTTGATTCAGCCTGAACCAAAACCGCGGCCAACAGAAAAGACTGACTTGTTTGAGCGACAGCTGTATTAGTAGCCAGCGTTTCCGTGGTATCTTCTGCTGTATTTTCTACAGCTACAGCGGTAACTGTATAGTCCTTGGCTTTACCTTCCACAGATCCTACACCTATTTTAGGATGTAAAAGAGAATGATGGTTTAGCTTGCAAATCCTGCACTTAGTTTTTTTTGCGCCCGAAGCAAATATGGGCAACCCTCCGGAAAGCGGGGGGAGAGAGGTTGGGAATGCTCATAGCATACCGATAAAAGTCAATACATAACTACGCAGCCGGCTGCGTGGTTATGTAGTGACTTTTACCCACTAAACCTAACCTTTTAGGAACTGGCTTAACGATCTGACTAGAGATCTCTAAGCCGTATACGAACGCGATCCTCTTTGGCAGAAAGGAGGGCGCAGCGCACTTAGTATTTATGGAGCATCGTTTAGCAAAATGATTTTAGTCAAACCATATCGCGATACAGTTACTGTGCAACACCATCTGCCATCGATGATGCTAACTATCGCAACATAATCAATACAATTACTTTACAACGCCATCTATCATCTGTGATACTAACTATCGCAACATAATGGTAGCACAACGCCATCTGTTTATCTATGGCTAAATTACGCTGAACACGCAATTACAAAATAAGTTTGACAAATAATTGATGTTAAACGTCAATCACTTCACGTTTCAATTAGTGTAGAGTTCCGAAAATTTTGAAAGTATCGATACCAATTCGATACCAATTATCGCATCAAAAGTATCAGTACTACTTGGTATCGAATACATTCTGGTAACGAAAAATTATGACAAACCATTTAGATGCATATAAAGAGCTGATAAGTGCTATTAAATATTTATATAAAATAGAATAAAGTTTATTTTTTTTTTAGTTCCACCTTTGTACTTGTATTTCATTGTTTGCAACTTTCTGTATTATTTAACTCTTACTACAATAAAGTATTTACTTACTTATTTAAAATCCAAAAAGTACCCAAAACCGAATCAGAGCACCCCACTATCCACGTGGTCTTGTGTGCCCTACCCCTAGAGTGTATATAAGAGGAGGATACTCGGAGGCGCGGAGGGAGAGCAGTGCCCGCCTGCCGTAGGAAAGCGGAGGCACCGAGATCGCCGTAGCGGCTGAGGCTGGTCGCCGAAGACGACCAAAAAGCCGAAGCTGCGAAAGTGAAGGCGAAGGCTACGCTAGGGCGGAGGGACTGCTCATCCCGCAGCGCTGGAGCTGCCACGGAGCGCCAGAGTTCGACTTCCCCGCTCCTAACTGAAAAATGCCGTTATCCTTTAAATTATTGAATAATGTTATAGTAATACTATTTTGGTTTGTCATATTAGTGGTAATATAATTGTGTTAAGCTAGTTCTTTTCTTTTTTCTTTTTTTGCATGTTAGAAAGTAAGAGAGCATTTTTTCTGCCAACAAACTGCTGAGCAGTTTGGCAGACTGTAAAAATAACTAATTATGTTTTTTTATGTTAAATAAATATAAATAAAAAAAATAACCACCCTCCACCTCACTTCCCCGCGAGTAACCTCACCTCCTCCCGTAAGCCCCACCCTTTTCTTCATTTGCCGAAGCTGCGAAGGCGAGCTTAGGTGCCGCGCTTTCCTACGCTAGGGCGGAGGGACTGCTCATCCCGCAGTGCTGGAGCTGCCACGGAGCGCCGGAGCACGACTTCCCCGCGACTAACCCCCCCCCCTCCTCCCATAAGCCCCACCCTTTTCTTCATTTAATCTAGTTCATTTTACCCCCTCCTCCCCCATATCTCCCCCCTCTCCATTTCAATAGATATACGGAAACGAGAATAATAATAAATAATATAATAAACTTTGACCACTAATATCTCCATTATCATGGGGTTGCGCAGGGTGGGGATGGTATAGGGGGGGTAGCCATCAGCCCCTCCCACCCCTAAAACCTCGTATATCGATGGTCCTTATTGGAAAGTTAAAGTTTCCAAAATTAACGAAATGTACTCGATACCAAGTAGTATTGATTCCTTGGATGCGATACTTGGTATCGAGTAGGTATCGATAATTCATTTTCGGAACCCTACACTAATTGAAACGTGAAGTGATTGACGTTTGGCATCAGTTATTTGGGGGTCTGTCAACTTTGTTCTACGAACAAGATGTAGGTGGGCTAGGAAACAAGAGAGAGACAACAACATCAGGTAAAAGAGATGAATTATATAATGTTGCCACCAAAAATAAAAATTTCGTATCTTTCAAAACAATGAACTTTATTAATCGATTTTTAAAGTAAGTTGTCTTTAAAAATAGCTATTGTTATTATTCTGATGCCAAAAATATATTTTGCTAAGAAATATTACGTATTCAATTGATTAATACACAATAACAAAAAAGATAAAGCGATAATGTGTGGCAACAGTAATGTCCGCACGCCATATTGATTATGATTAAGACGTCACAAGAAAAATGTCTCGGTCTGCCGGCGCTTGAGCGCCATTTGTCTTGTATTTATGTTTATTTGTAATAAATAAACTAGTTCCATTTAACTCTACATACGTTATTATTTGTTAACGTTGAGTCGAGTTTGCTCCTCCATGGCTGTATTTTGGTGAAATTAAGTGTTTTTGTGAGATATAGACTCGGTGTTGAGATAGTGAATCTTTTTTTCTTGTTTGAAATGTGTTTATTTTCGCGATGAGTTCGCAGAAAGAAAATACTGGAATCTGTATCATGTGTAGATCTTCACCTTCTAAAGATTCCAGCATCACTTTGTATCGGTTTCCAAAGCCTGACACTAGAAATGCTCTGCGGTATGTATACTTTATACACACAGGTATTTACTTTGTTTTAAACGACATACAATACCATATTTTTGGTTTATCCAGCTTCTAACTACCACTTACTGTCTTACTGTGATGGTAATCAAGAAAAACATAACAAAAAACTTTGGGCCATCCGAACGAGAGTACATATTGTTGTGGGATGAAATGCCCTTAAGAAAAAATGTATGGTACAACTCGAAGGCGGATCATATTGAGGGTTTCCAAGCCCATGGTACACAAGGTAGATCTCCACAGGCAGCTTCATATGCCCTTGTATTTATGGTAATTGGAGTTAGGAAGCAAATTAAGCAGCCAGTGGCTTATTATTTATCAAGTGTGTTTGTCACAGCTGACAGAATATCTGCTTTGATTAAGGAGGTATGCATTTCTTCTTCATTTTGAATGATCTTCATGTTTAACTCTGCTAAACTATGTCAATAATCTGTATTAAAATACTTTCAGGTCTTAAATTCTTGCTTTGATGCTGGACTTAATATATGTGCTTCAATTTGTGACTTGGATGGTGTCAACAAGAAAGCTCTATGTCAGTTAGGGGCTTCTGTAGAGAATCCCTGCATAGAAGTGAGCAATCAGAAAGTTGTCACACTATATGACACACCACACCTGCTGAAGTGTTTCAGAAATCTTTTAATGAAATATGATGTAAAGTTTAGGCCCAATATAACATCAGACAACATACAAAGAATTAGTAAGTCATTGTTATTTAGTTAAAAAAATTGTTTATTAATAAATATGTACATTAGTTTATAATTATTATTTGTAATACTTTTAATAATTACAGGAATCGCTAAATGGAGCCACATCAGGTAATTCTATGAATTGGACAATAATAATCCAAACTTTGTATATGCACCATGCTTGACTAAAGAGCACCTTGACCCCAATACCAAGCAAAAAATGAGGGTAAAACTTGCAGCACAAGTTTTAAGCCACTCAGTTGCAGCTGGAATATATTCCAAAATAGCTAAAGATAAGACATCTTTAATATTCAAAGTCAAACTCATTTATAATTATCCATGATACTTATGAACTTTTAACAACAAGCTAACAACACCCTTTCTTACAAATTTCATCAAGTTTCATCAGAATGTTAATGTGTCTAGTAATTATATTGGCCTTTTTTATTACCTAATCCTGGTTTGAGCAAGGATTAAAAATGGTTTAAAAAAACTAGCCAGAAAATATGCTTACTTATATTGATTTTATTTGTTTATTGTGAATTTTCAGGAGACATGCCGACTGAAGCAGTGGCAACAGCCAATTTAATTACAAATATAGATGAACTGTTTGATGGTGTAAACGCGTCGACACCAGATCTAAGAAGAGGAAAAAAATTTTCGACGAACATGAAAAAGCTCTACAGAACATCTGCAAATGTTAAATAGAATGAATTTTTTTTACTTCTGAATTTTTGGGTTGCAGGGGTAATCATCCATCAAAAGATGAATGGATTTGGACCCTCAATGGCATCGAAATGATTTGGAGAATCCTTAGTGAAAAATATAAGTCAATTAAAAGTCTGTCGATGAGAAGACTCCAGCAAGACCCACTGGAAATTTTATTTAGTACAATATAATTACACATTTGCATTTAGTTTAGTACAGTACAATTTATTTAGTACGCTACAACTGTGGCTCCAATAGTAACCCAACAGTTGGACAGTTTGTTGCTGGGTTAAAAACTGCTGTGATAAGTAACATGGCACACACTAGCTCAGGCAATTGTGAGCTGGATGGCAACAGTGCCATTATCAAAATTTTAAAACATTGTTGACACCAGCCACAGCCACATATGCACTGATACAGAGCAATCGGAACATGCATACCAAATAGAAAAAGAAATTGAAGAAAGTATTTTAAGAAAACTTAGAGGAAGGAAGTAGCGAACTACAAGCATGTGCTTATGTCTGTGGCTTCATTATTAAAAAAAATAAAAACAGTTGTAATAATTGTAAAAAAATCTAGTCTCCGAAACGCCAAAGGGAGTAATTTTATAGAGTTCCAAAATTATGAAAACGTAAAAAAATCTCTAACATACATACGCCTCAAAGAATTTAATAGCTTGTGTAGAGAAAAGTGCAAGCGTTATAAATATATTTTTAGAAAAAAGAGGCTTTAAAAGAAAATATTAAATTGATAATATCACAATTGTTATAGGACTCTATAAACTATGACTTCCTAGAAGATTGCATGGAAAACAAACAATTAAATATTACATTCATAGTTAATAGTGTCTTCCATATTTCAATTAAGAGATACTGTATTTTAAAAAACAGAATATTTTCTGAGGATGCGAGTAAATCTGCACTAAAAAGAAAAATGAACATAATTATACATAAATAAATGTAAAACTAGCGCCTTTACCCAAATTCATCCCCCTGAATTTTAGACTTTTTCACCCAAGATGATACAACACATATTTATTTATTTTTGTATTCAATATTCAAACTTCAAAAACACCAGATTCTCATACGAAATTTCAATCAAATACAAAAAAATATGGGCATTTAAATCGATGGTCCATATTGGAAATTTTAACCTAAATTAAGTTGAATTGTTTACTTTAATAATATTTTATAAACAGATATTTTTAATGTATTTATATGTTCCATCTTTAATTTTTAGGCCCAGGCTAAACGGACTTCTGAAAATAGTCCCTCTTTGCTGGCTTCTACCCAGTTAATAGGCCTAAATCCAATTCCATTTCTACCAATGGTAAGTTATTTTGTCTAACACAATAATCAAATTATTTTAACCTCTATGGTTACCATACAAAACCAATTAAAGTATTATATTTTATCGATTGACTGAAATCAAATGATATAAATATGCATAGTAATTAAATTTTCAAAACAACACGAGTATGTTTTAAAAGTTTCAATTTTTAAATAAAAACCTATTAATAGAATTATCATATAAGATGTAAATAATTGTATCATATCAATTATTGGGTGATGGAAAGTATTTACTAGCCCTGATATGATTTGTATAACATAATCCAAAAAAGTAAAGAAGTTGTAGAATAAGCGTAAATTTAAAATATCTGAAATAGTTTGGGAAGAACCCTCGTCTTCTAATTTTTTCACATGATGTTCTTTATTATTTAACATATACATTTGACATGCAAATATGTATATAATTAAATGACTGGTGATTGATATTTGAACGTTTTCAGGAACAGCAATCCACGCCAACTTATATTGGAAATTTTCCAGCTGAAAATGTTCCTGTTGTAGAGGTATATTATGTGTTATTTTTTAGTTATCTAAATTAAAAAGGGGTGGATTAATTTTATTAAAGTAAATTACAGCAATTATTATATACGTAACATTAAATAAAAATAATAATTAACATTATAATATTTACAATTAATACTAATTACACACAATATAAAAAAAAGAAACTATAATATAGAAAAACTAACACTAAACATTTAAATTGTCAAAAAGTCCTGCTCCCCGTGGTATAGTGTCAAGAACGCTGGCTGCGTTTCCTCGCTGAATAGCTATACTAAGCCTTTCAGCGAGGAAAGTACCAGCTCTCTTATCACCAGCAGCGACGACCAGCCGTGGATACAGTTCCTTTAGGAACTTCACTGCACGTGGACCCCACGGACCGATAGTCTCTACAGCAAATGGCACAAATATGTAGTCATTTCTCAAAGACTCATATTTGTGCCATTTACTAAATTCGGCTGCCTTTGATGCCGCCCCGGCTCTGAAAGAGGTACCCTTGAGATGAGAGGCCGCCAAAGTTTCAAGGCAAGTAGTATCTCACAATAGGGCTTTACCTCTCTCCCAAGGGACCAAAATCATACCGTCTGGTCTCTTGCCATCGTCTCTAAATATCCCGCTAGGCTCTAAAACCGAGGGGATATTTATGGAGACAAGAGCCTTTCGGATGATTTCGTTCAAAGAACCGTGAAGGGAAAATCTACCTGCACTTTTCTTGCACGAAAGTCCGTGGAGCCCAAACTCATCGACGCTGCTACCACAGGGACACTGGTGAGGTAGACAAATTGCCGCTCCAAGCCGGATTCCTACGGCGATGCGCAAGCTCTCCCCATCAAGCAATGTGCCGAGATTACTTGATGATAGAGCGTAACCAGTGACTAGATTCTTTAGTCGAAACAGCTAGAAGGCGAATGTGATCTTGTTGACTGTGTAAATTTTGAAATAAATTTTATTTACGTATTCGTACTATGTCTATAACTTGTTTAAGTTTCTATATAAATAATAATGTAGATTATTGCAGTATCTAGATAGTGCTAATAAAATATTGATGTATGTCTATAACTTGTTTAAGTTTCTATATAAATTAGGGTGTAGACTGTATATTATTGTAGTATCTAGATAGTGCTAATAAAATATTGATTTCGTGTATATTTACATAAAGTTATAATACAAGAGTATGTCAGTTGTCATTATTATTATTTTCAGACAGCACAACAGCATGCGATTGTAAGGTTGGCTATTTTACGCCTACCTGGAACATCTGGGCCATCTTCTAGGCCAAGTGTTGCTCGCATGGTGAGTAATCTACTACGGATATTTAAAATTTCTTTATTACACAATGTTAACACTTAATATATCCAATTCTAGGTATCATTAAGCCCTTTATCGATGGTTCAGTCTCCACCCTGCACACTACCCACAGTTGGAGGTCCCGCAAGTCCTCCCCCGAACTCCTTCGGGATCAGGCAGCCACCCACAGCATCGACTAAGAAAAGCACGACGCCAATTGACTGGATCTCCAGTGCATAATCACCCACTGCCAAATACAAGTAATTATATTTTAGCACATTACTAAAATTGAAGGATACCTCAAAGTTATGTTATCTATATATCTTCTTCCCACCACTGTATTCTCATTTAAAATAATAATATAAAAAATGTTAAAAATTATAATTAGAACTTGGAGTGAATTTTCGTCAATAATGATTTTTTTCGACGCTTCATTGATTAGCATTACTGTTTCGTATTCGTATTTTATAAAAAAAAAAAGTAATTCCTTTAATTTGACATATTATGTGATTACTTTCCAGAATTTGATCCATATTAGCGACACAATCGATTGGTGTAACAATACAATGTGTCTTTTTTTTCAAAATCAGCAAGTTCGATTCCTGGCTAGGAAAGATAGAAGAAAACTAAAACAGCATCATTGGATTTTTGAAAAAAATTTTTCCAAAATCCAATGATGCTGTTTTAGTTTTCATCAAAATCGGCCTCGTGGCTTCTTTGAGCCATCCACGCTCATAGTGAAAATTCACCTGTATATTATATATAGGTAGGTATATTAGGTAATTTTGTAATAGAAGCGAAATTAGCTTAGTTAATCAGGGGTTGGCCTTTCGATTATAAGATCTCTAGTTTGATGTTTACCTGATGATAGTAAGCCTATGTACATAGACACACTTATGTGTATAGACCAACTTAGAAGTGAATTTATTCTTTTGTGATGTTTTATTGTGATTTTCATACAAATGTATTGTAACTAAATAGGAATAATATATTTTCTGTACCATTTATTATTGTTCTAGCAACATCAAGACTTCGCCACATTCGTCGAAGTCGTGCATCACCTCCATCTCAACGGCGATCACAATTCCTAAGTTTTTCGGAGCCATTTTTGGCGATAGAAGAAGGAAATTTACAAATAAATCGCCGAAATTCTGAGCTTTTAGAAATGCTCGTGAACAAAGCAGTGCAGAGCATTGAAAAAAGGATTTCAATTATTATCAGAAACTTAAAAAAATAGTTTAGTGGTTTTTATCATAGTTTTATTTAAATATTAAGTGTAAATAATTATAATATAATTTTACTAGCTTTATTAAATACTTAAACTTATTTATCTTTTAAATATTAAGCTTAAATAATTAGAATACACTTTTACTAGCTTTATTAAATACTTAAACTTATTGATCTTTTGAATATTAAGTGTAAGTAATTAGAATATAATTTTACTAGTTTTATTAAATCAGAAGAATACTTGACAGCTTTATTAAACAGACTTATTGATCCTAGTTTATAAAATATTATCTTAATACATAATAATTTAAAATAAACATTGTAAAACATGTACTGGACATGTTTTTATCCAAAAAATACCAATTTTAAACATTATAATTTTTATTAAAATAAAATATGGGTTTTTATTTAATGTAATGCACGTAACTGTGCTCGCCATAACATATTAATTTGTTCTTGTTGACTAGACTACCCTATTATAGCCTCTTGAGATATTGTTTCATTTCTTACCCCAGCGTTTGTGTATGAATGACTATGGAAACGTAACTGCTCTTGACTGTCGTAGTCGCGTAAAGCAGGAGCCGGTAGGACTGCACGATTACAAATGTTGTGTAACACACAACATGCTATTACAATTTTTGCAACCACATCAGGATGGTAATGTAGTACTCTGTGTGTCAAAAGACATCTAAACCTCCCCTTTAGCCTGCCTTTATCTCTCTCTACGGTATTACGCGCTGTCGCATAGAGTTGTAGTGTGCAGCAGGTGTACCCCCATCTCATATATCAAGAATCTCCTAGGTGTGCGTTGTTTGTGGTTAGCAGTGACCACATACAACCGCCGGTACGACATACTCCGCCGATCGTCGAGGTCACCGGCCCCTAGGTAGATTCTTAGGCACTTTAAAGCGCTCCGCGTGCCTAGTCGCGTGTTTAAAATGCCACCACCGCACTTCCCCCAACCCTTTTGTTGTAAAAGGGGTAGGCAGTGCCCCAAGTGTGGAAAGCCAACGTATATCATCCTTAACATCCGCGTTGCGCTTTGTATCGATCGGCTGGTATCTCAGATAGGGCCACATTTAGATTACCTGACTGACTTTAGGTAGGTTCTTAGCATGTCCGATAAGGACAAGGGAGAGCCCCCACCTAAATCGAGAAAACCACCGGACCGTCCTGGCGTCTTAGAAAGTATGTATAGGCTATAGGGATATATTCCACCCGGAACGGACTAGAGTAGTGTCCTCCTACTCTCAGATCCCGAGCCGTAAGCCTTCATCCCCGGGCAAGGAGCCCGCACCGAGGACGCGCTCTCGCCCATCGTACCTGAGTGTACGACTGGGCGGGAACCGTTCCCCCAGCAACAGCGGGCCAAGAAGACGCCGAGAAGGCACACTCCACCCGAGACAGCAGCATCCCTTCAAGAGAAGAGGCAATGCTTTGGATCACCCTACTCCTCGGAATACTCAACGTCCGAGGATGATGACCAACAGCAGCTGGAAATACCCATCCGCACATCGCCGGATCACCTTACCAGCATGTATGCTGTTGATCTGGAGCAGGGAGGTGAAGGGTCATACAGGTGGAGTGCTACTACATACGCGATCCTTGCACCCAATACATCTGCCGGACATTCACCATCCGCGCCAACAACCAACCCGTCAGGCCGACCATCTGACGATGGTCAAAGGCTTTCGACAAGTTACGCCCAACTGGAAGCTGCCCCAGCAGTACCAAGGACAAGGACAGCTGAGGTACCATACCACCGTAAGAACAGCTAAGAAGCTGAGTGCTTACCGGACTGGACGAAGCACTTCGAAGTGCTCAACAGGAAGTTGGGCCACCCACCGAATGCTCGTCCGTTCGGGAAGGGGGGTTAGGTTCACCCCCCAAAGTCCAAAAGTACCTGAGAGATGACCGAAAAAGTGCCAGCCATGTGCTGGTACTGCTATACGCCCGAAGAGGACAAGCCCACAAAAGTGGGCATTCGGGGACTGCCAGTGGGCACGGATCCATCCGCGATAGAGGGGGCTATCAGGGCAAAGGGATTCCCGATCAAATATGTGAAAGGGATCCCCCCCTCCGTAGAGGCAGACCTGGGTGCCTCTACTTCGTGCAGCTGGACCACCTGAGCCTGGAGCGCCTTAACGAACCATGTCAGATCGACGAACTCCTGTTAATAAGAGGAGTCGTCATAGAGGCCTGGCAAGGAAGAGCGGGTCCTTCACAATGCCACCGCTGCCAGGCCTTTGGCCACGCATCCACGAACTGCTTCAGGCCAGTGAAGTGTGTTCGCTGCGCCGGAGACCATATCGCTAGTAACTGCCCAAGGGGTAGAGATGAAGAACCGCGATGTGCAAATTGCGCCAAAAATCATACCGCCAACGATCGCCGCTGCCCAGTCCTGAGGAGGATTGCAAGGAAGCAGGGGATCGTTCTACCGAGACTACTCCCAGAAGATTCCCCCAGAGTCGTCCCAGGGCCGTGGTCCAGGAAGACGGGTGGACTACAATTAGAGGAAAGGAAAGGCACACCCGCCCCGCCCCCCACCCGTCTCGGCACCCATAGAAATGGTGGTGCCGATTACCATCACATCTAAGGCAACTACCGGGGCGACTCTCCAGCCCCCCGCTAACGACGCAATAGAGCGCCAAACCTCGCAGTGGAGTAAGCGGGGGAGGAAGAAGAAGGAGAAGGTGCAGCCCCCTCCTCAGGCAGCAAACTCTATCCCAACCACAGCGGTAACAATAGCCCAGGCGCAGGTTACCAAGAAGAAATCCAGAATGGGTAGAGTGCCAGAAAGGCCTCTATCGGAAAATAGAGCCCGCTCTACATATAGAGCGCACTCTACCCATCTGCAAAGAGAAACGCAACAACACCCGAGACCAGTGCCAACGCCTTCACAGGCCCCGAGAACACAATCAGCCGGCTTCGAGACTGCTGACGCCATCCAACGCTTGGTTGGCATAGCAATCGAATTCGGCAGTCAGGTCCTGGCTGATAGAGCCGGGACAGATCCTATAACAGCGGTGATGAAGGCGCTGGCAAACCTCCTGGCTCGGCACTACGGAGGAGTCTAATAAATAAAGTCTGCGCCTCCTCTACTGGAACCCGGGTGAAATCCAGCAGAAGCTACACGAACTCCGCACTGTCGCCCAACAACAAGACATACAGGTCATCTTGCTGGGAGAGACTAAATTAAACCCGAGTACGCAATAATATAAATATAAAGCTGCCCAACTACCATCTTTACAGAAGGGACGAGGTCAGTTCTCAAGGGGCCGCCTACAGAGGGACGGCGGTTCTAGTGAGAATGGACATCGTCCATCAAGAACTCGAACTACCGGAGTACCAAACGATGCGCTCTATCGGTATAAAAATGGAGGCGGCGGGCAAGGAACTTAGGATCTACGCAGCATACTGCCCGCCAGGGACTCCATTCTGCTCCTCAGACGTCCGGACGGTGATGGAAGGCGAAACACCGACCATCATCGCCGGGGACCTAAACGCCAAATACCCGGCGTAGGGATCTAGAGTGATCAACCCGCCGGGTCATGCACTGTATGAAGACGCCGAAAGACATGACTATGACGTCTTAGGTCCCGAAGAACCCACACACGTTTCGACTGATCCACGGAGTCGTCTGGATGTATTGGACATTGTGCTCTCTAGGAACGTCAACTACCCGATAGTGGTAGAGGTACTGTACGACCTGAATTCACAGCACCTCCCGATCTTGATTACCCTTGGCCTAAAGGCGGTGACTACGCCGCACAGAGCATTTAAGACACGTGTCGACTGGAGGCTCTACCATCAACACCTACAGGAGAGACCTCCAGCACACCACACCTTAAGTACAGCGGACGACGTAGAGGCTGCTGCTACTAGAATTTCTAAGGCGATACAAGAGGCCCTCCACGCTGCCTCTACGATCGTCCCGATTACTGCAAGGAGAGATGATCTGCCGCTACATATTAGCGTGCAGATAAGAAGGAAAAGAGCGTTGAGGAGGCTCT